ATATATATATATATATATATATATATATATATATATATATATATATATATATATATATATATATATATATATATATATATATATATATATATATATATATATATATATATATATAGGGGCTCTTTGAGAAAACCCCCTCATTATTTTTTTTAATTGAGGGAGGCCCAAAATATTTTAGTCCATTTGAGAAAAGTCCACACCCATTTTCAGCTATTATGCTTTCCAGCTTTGTCCCCACCCGCCACATCATCAGTGGGTCACGCTCAGCAATTTTTTTTTTTTTTTTTCCGTTTTTTTTCTTAATCGACTATGAAGCATAGTCGATTAAGCCTTAATCGACTATGCTTCATAGTCGATTAAGGAAATTATTTAATTATTTTTTTTTTTTGTTTTTTTAATTTTTTTTTTCTATATCAGGTGTATTAATCGACTATGATGTGAAGCATAGTCGATTAAGAATCTGCTACTAAAAATAACAAATCACAACTGCGAAAAAAATACAAAATCAACTATATATTACCAAAACAAAAAAATATACAAATATTATAAATGATTTATACAATTGAAAGCAATAAACAAAAAATCCAAAAAAAATAAAAAAAATTGGAGTCGATGAACCTTAATCGACTACCAGAGCATAGTCGATTAGCTTAATCGACTATGAACATGTACATAGTCGATTTAGGTTTCATCCACAAAAAAATCAAAAAACAACCTCCCCTTCGTCACCACACCACCCAGAGCTCCTGCCATGGCCGAACCCGTTAGGTTTTAAGAAAAAAAATTGGCAATTCATCAAAAAAAAAAAAGAAAAAGCTATGGAAATTGAGCATCAAATTATAGTGAGGGGTGAAGAGGAACAACAAACAAAGCAGCAGGTACAACTCATCAATCCACCTTCACCTTCATCCTCACCCTCCCATGAATTCTCCTTCACCATCTCCCTCCACCCGCCGCCCCAACCGCCGCCGCCACAACCGCCGTCCGACATTAACACCAACAAACCAAAATCCCCTCCTCCAATCGCCGCCATCGATTTATCTCCGGCGGATGAAATCTTCTTCCACGGCCACTTACTCCCCCTCCACATCCTCTCCGGCGGCGGCGTTGGTCAACGGAGGCACCTTTCATCATTTTGGCAACGGTATCAGTGGACGGCAGAGGAGAGATAGTGGTGGTGGTGAACTGGGGAGGAATGAAGAGAGAGAAATGGGGTTGTTTGTTGATGAACGGTGAGCCAGGTTGGCAGCGGCGACGGGGGCGACGGTGATGAGAAGATTTGTCGGAGAAAGAAAAAAAAAAAAAAACAAAGAACACGGCAGAAGAGAAGCAGAAGACGAGAAGATGAGAAGACAAGAAAAAAAAGAGAGAACGGCAATGGGTTAGGGGTAATAAGGGTGGTTTGGGAATTATTAAATAATATTTGGGTAGGATATTAGGTAAGGGGGGTTTTCTCTAATTATTTTTGGGAGGGGGGGTTTTCTTAACTCATTTACCTAGATGAGGGGGGTCTTGCTAATTATCCCATATATGGCCATATATATATATATATATATATATATATACACACACACACACATATCACAATATAGGAAACAATATGTTATTTTTAACGAAAGATCACATATTATAATATGACATATATTTTATTAAAAAATAAAGATTATAAGAAATCTAGTCTTAAATTAGGTTAGCATAGTAATTAGTATTTAAACTCAATGGCGTTGCCATATTTTTTATATAGAAGAAAAAGAAACACATTAAATAAAATAATTAATTACATCATTAATTAAAAAGCTCTCATGGCCAAAATTAGTCTCTCTTTGTTTCTACTATGTTGCATTCTTGGCCTTGTGTCTTGTTATGCAACAAACTCTCAGCCAATTGACGTCAAACAAGTAATTAATTTTCTTATTTTTTTTATTTTTTTAGTTTTATTTATATATAAATTTATAAATTCAATTATTTAGTGTGAGTATTATTAGTGGCAAATATCTTATTATTATTATTATTTTTATCGGAGGCGGGGCTTTACTGCGTTGCAAATACGAACGGGAATCCACCTTATGAAAAGTTTCAAGGGTTTATAGACTATGCTTGTGGAATATTAGATTGTTCGCCCATACGAATAGGTGGCAGTTGTTATTTTCCGAACATTCTCGTAAAACATACGACTTGGGTTCTAAATTTGTTCTACAAATCTCGTGGCGTATGCAATACGGAGATTGGTCTCATAACAAATGTTGACCCTTGTAAGTAATTTCTCTCTCTCTCTCTACCATATATATATATATATATATATATATATATATATATATATATATATATATATATATATATATATATATATATATATATATGTGAGTGCGAGTGCGTGAGAGAGTGTGTGTGTGTGTATGTATGTATATGTATATATCTATCTCCCTATCTATCCCCCCCTCTATTCTATATAAAAAAAAAAAAAAAA